TGATCCTTAGGCTTGGGACACCAATTTCGACAGGAATGACTGCCTCGGTGCCGAAGGCTAAGTGGTAGGGCGTTTCGCCTATTTGCAGGAGACTATAACTTTAGGATTTACTTTAAAGGATAGTTTGTAACTGTGAATAAGGTAATAGAAAAGAGAATCAAAGTGAGGGACATACCTGTGGCAGTTCGGCTTGTTGTCCGATAGGCCCACAGGACGTTGTTGAGTTCATCTACCCACTTTGTTTTCAGCTGATCTAACCTCGGCTTGATTCCTTCTAAGATGGCTTTGTTGACTGATTCAACCATTCCATTGGCCTCGGGATGATAGACGGAAGTGAACACCAACTTAATCCCGTAGCTGAAGCAGAAGTCCCTAAAGGAGTTATAATTGAACTGGGGGCTGTTGTCAGCGATAATCTGGTTTGGTATCCCATATCTACAAATGACTGAGCTGAAGAGGAAATCCTCAATTCTTCTCGAAGTCAGACAAGAGAGAGGTTTGGCTTCTACTCACTTGGTGAAGTAATCAACAGCAACCACTAAATGAGTTGCTCCTCCTATTGCTTTGACAAAGGGGCCCAAGAAGTCTATTCCCCATTGAGCAAAAGGCCAGGGTGCAATCATGCTGGTGAGTTCTTCGACTGGCTGATGGGTAAGGTGGGCGAGGAATTGACATTTCTAGCATTTCTGCATGAATTTCTTTACATCTTCTTGCATGTTAGGCCTGTTGACGACCACTTAAGATTTTTTTCAAAACAAATTGAAAAATTAAGTGTGAAAAATATCAAAAAAGAGGGAGTCGCCACTCATCCAAATTATAAGGTGAGACAAGTCACCTAAAACGAGTTTGCGGAGAGATCGGGGTTCGGGGGTTCAGTTAGGAGTGAGGAAGGGCATACGCGCACCTCACAATCCTCCGTTTAAACACGGTTGCATACTTTAACATTGGGGGTTTTGAATCAACTTATTCATTATGTTTATATTTGAGTCTTAATAAACAAGCTTGAAAAAAAGGGATAACCAAATTGCAACATTTTTAACATTTTGGACTAAAATGGACGAAAGCAAAGACATGCATGCACAATGAACACAAGTAAAAATT